CAATAGTACATTCACGTTGTTGTAAAAAGCATGATAATATATTAAGTAATCCAAAGTATTCAGAATACGTTACTGTCATTGAGTAACGTAACGGATAATCGTTAAAAAAAAACACAAAAACAAAGCATTTACAGACTAACTGAAAACAGCAAAGTTAAAACAGAAATAGCTAGACAAACTAATTACAAAATGCACACACACCCATTGAGAGCAATTGTACCCTTATTCTTTATACCTCTATGGGAGAAGATGGGGACTTTGAGAAACAGTACTACAAACTCTTTGCTTTACTATAAAAAGTTTGTTTGAGTGAGAACATAAATGTGCAGCTAACACACACACACACTTGAACATTTTTGATGTATCAAAATCTGGTCGTTGTGTGTGAGGAATGACGTGTGTTTAGGTACGACTTTATTGCGACAGAGCAGCAAGGTGTGATAGAATGATTTACCTGTGTGCGTTATGGATGAACTAAGTGATTAATGTCCTGATATGTCTTATATATGCATACCTAAGTCTGGCAAAAAAGCAGACACCACTATGTATGAAAGACAAGATGCAGAATGAGGATCTCATCTGAGCTTGATTGACGGTTAGCTCGGTTGGTTCCTGTGAGTCACACCTGATTCTGAGTGATAGCCTGAATTGTACTCTACTCCTGACTGGGTCCCTACTTATAATCCAGTCAGGAGTAGAGTACTCCAATACTATTTATTGATGTTTTGTCTCTACTTTGTTTCTCATAACCATTGTTACATTCTTACGATGCCTATTCCACGTAAAAACAGCAACATGCTTTCTGTATGACACACAGCAATGACCTAGAATAAACCTGTCTAGATTTTTACGTCTGTTGTTTGTGCCATATGTGTAAATGCACTTGTGTGATCAATGAATGATCAAAAAAAGGAGGAGAGTAATGGAAAATGATAAGATTATGCTCTTCTCGGTGCCAAGGTGACCTAACTGAAAAGAAACTTCCATAGTATCATGTTTTGTCTCCATATGATCTTTTAATACAAGATATGCTCAACTGTACAAGTTATCTTTTGCACAGAATGTTCTGACTCTGCTCTGTGACCACGCCAAGTAGATAACTTGTGTCAATAAATTATTCTGTGCATGTTATTATTCTTTGTCTAAACCCACGCAGACTGCTGCTGTGCTCTAAATTGTTGTTTGATCCCTTTGCAAAGGCAAATTAAAACCCTGGAAAGAAAACCTGCTTAGGTGTAAATCAATTGATTTCAGATTTCCATAATGAGAGATGATAGACTTTCTGATTTAAAGTACCTTCAGAACCTGCAATCCATGTAGATAGGCCTTGCCAAAATAAAGAATATTTTTATTCTTTTCGTTTCGGGACTATTCCACCTTATCACAGTATGGCAGCTGTGATTTACACAAACCAGCCTAATCCTGCTTTGTACATTTTGCCCACACTGCATCTCTGCTGTAGTTGTGTTAATGTCAAAAGTTCTGCTGACCTGCACATTATCAACTTCACTGTTGTTATATGCCTTATTTTCTGTATTATGTCAGCAGGTTATTTCATTGTACACATTGGCTTATTAGACCAATTGCTGTTCTTATTGGTTTTACATTCCAACCTATTCAATTTTCCTTTTAAACATAGATAACATCATCTATGTATGTTAGAGAAAGCAGGGAGTGTGTTGGCATTTAAGCACTGCTCAGCAAAGGTGCCCACTTTAAAACTGCCCTTTCTGTAAAGTCTGTCATTAGGGAAGTGAAGGCATATCCTCTGCTGGGCTATTGTTATCTAAGAGTTAGAGAAACAGAGAGAGATTGAGCTGTAGGTGAGAATGTGTAGGAAATGTGTTGAGAGTCAACACTGCGGCAAGGAGAAGTTGTTTTAGAGAGTGCGCATGTGCATTCTGTTAATTTGATTAAGTCAGCACTTTGTGTAGCAGGTAATACATGGATCAG